TCGACACCGTGTATCGCCACCGATTAATTAATCCGTCGATTCTCCGTGTCCATCTTGAACGGTCAATCAGAAAATTTCCTCCCGCCGAGAAAAACTCGATGAACCTAGCAAAATTTGCTTGCATTCTCCTGTAATATCCTGCATAAGACGATCTGAAAAGGTTTACAAATGAAGACAGATAAACTTAAAAATAAATTCATAATTCTTAAATAATTTGGAGAGTTTGAACCAGGGTATTTAACTTCAAGCCTCTTCCTTTGATTTCATGCAACAATTAATAATTTTGATTAATAATTAGTAGAAGAATTAGTAATTTTGATAACATAAAAGAATATACATTAAAATTAATTATTTCTAAGTCAAATAGATTACCTCCTCTAAAACAAGTAACTTTTGTCAACAGAAAATTGTTAATTCCTCTCTGTACGAGATCCAATTAAGATTTCTGACAGAGTCCAAAGTCTCCTTTGTCATCTGATTTTTCACCAGGAAGGAGGGTATGTTAGGCATCCAATTTACCCCATTTTTCTATATTGCAAAAGTCCTGAGTCTGCTAATTCAAGCTGAAAATTGGACACGATCTTTCTCAGTCATCCCGAGCAGATTTCACGATTTTAACCTATCTGAACGGGTAATAAAGGGATTCCTCTTCGTCCCCGGAAGAAACGTGCTGATGCGAGATCAGGATCGTTCAGTTTCTCTAAACAGGAGTACCAAAACACTTTGAACAGAGGATTAATTATACGAAAAAGCGTCGGGATTCAGCGTTGATTGTCGGACCAGTTTAAAGGATGGAGCCGATAACGAGGCAGACCGGTTTACACGAGGGACTTCGGCTGAGTTTACCTGCAAGTTTGTTCCTCGTTACAGAAATTGCTCGCCGTTCGATCATTTGGGTACACACAGACTCGGTCGTTAAACCGTTAAAGTTTCGTCCGACTATTATCTTAACTGAAACCCTCTTGGTCAAAAGAGAGGCCGGTCGTTAAAAATATCCTAAAATCATCGATCGTTCACCGTCTCGAACGTGTATAAATCATTCGTTCGAGCGACGAAATACGCTTATTTCTTTTCGTCTATGAGGTGGTCTAGAAGTACAGAAATAATTTTCACCGAGAGAGGGACGTTTGCTAAATACAGAATCGAGAAGATACAGTGTTTAGCCTTTACTTCTTTGAAATAATAAGCCTTCGACTTTGATCTCTTCTTTCCTTCCAGTTAAATTTTTCGCAATTCTTTTAGCAGTGAACAAACGTCTTGTTATACCCAAGTATTTAGAATATAATTAAAATGACATCACACAATCGGTAAAAAGGATTAATTTTGTGCAGCTTATCGCAATTGCAATAATATTAGTTTCGGTATTAAATAAGAATATTCTTCCCAATTTCTTCTGGAGGAAAAAATATCTTTCTTCCAAAAAATATTCTTCTACTAAGATATCATCGTATTACAATGATAATCATTAAAAAGTTCCAATTATTTGACTTAGAATTTTTAACAAGATAAAAATCTAGAAATTGGAAGCACGCTCCAGTATCCAAATATGGCGAATTGCGCGTCACCGATGGACGGAAATCGACTCTAGCACGACCTTCGCTCGATGATCTTGCGAGGTCGCTTGGAATATGAGTCAATTAATTTCCGATTCAGCGTCGTTGACCGCGTTTCCGAAGGACGTGTTTAGCCCAGCCCACCGACAGCCTGTTCCACAGAATAAATCCCGAGATCGTCGATCGCGAAGAACCAGCAAATAATTTCCAATTTCTACAATTTATATCTCCAATACTATAAACAGCTC